TGAAGATCAGTGGTGGCTACCAATTTTACTACCGATTTCGCAATTCACTGCTAGATAGTTAATGGGTGAAAATGTTGACAGAACCCCAATTACACACCAATTAGCAGCATGTATATTCTACAATCAGCATTCTTCAGATAATCTGCTTTATAATCCTTTATATTAACAACCACACAACACCTTGAATAGAGATTTATTTATAAAGGTTTATGTTTTGCAATCCTTTATCTATGTCTGATAGTGTTGATAACAATAAAATAAGCCCTTGTCTAACAAGGCCTTCCACAGCATAAGGAACATTCTGGCAAGGCATTTGATACTTGGAATTCAGCCGAAAGGAATATTGTGTAGTTTGAGAATAGATGAAAGCCTAGGGCAGACAGAATGGCCTTGTCTTTTTCAAGAAAACAATCTGGACTGAAAAGGGCTTACTTACAATGCATCTCTTATGTAAATGACATGCAAATCAAGTACTAGAAGTATTTGCCTACATAATTCTCACAATGCGAAGAAAAAATAACACTGCTGTCATAATATCAAAACAAAATTGTAACTATGGAAAATACATCATAACCTGACCTGGAACAGAAATATGTATTGTTTAGATCATTTTATATGCTCATTAACTGATTGCTTTCACTGCATAATTAAATCTTTACATATTATTATTTATCATCATTATTATTATTATTATTATTATTATTAGTGATGAGCAAACTGAACAAAGTTCAATTGGATGGAAAATTCATGTACGCAAAGCCCATTAAAGTCTGTGGGAGCTGAAGCTTTTGTTTTTTTCTGATCTTTTCAGGGTCAATGAAAAAGGCATGAGCATTGCCATTTAGGGCATATATCAATGCAAAGCATTTACAAAATAACATCCAGTGAGGATCAGCTTTTTAAAAATGATTGAGGGACAATATTAAAAATACACAATTCCTTTAAATAAGTTGTTTGCATGATGCCTTAAATCTGCACATAAAGGGTCACACCTGTATGATTTACTAAAGCAAAAGTAACAAAAAGAAAACAAAACTGCATTTCAGAAGTTGCTAAATCACTTTCCTTGGCCGTGTCATTCATTTGTAAACAAAGTTACCTTCAACATCTATACTAAACCCTTATCTTAGAAAAAATAGAGTAGGGTTCCCCCTAAAAATCAACTTTATCCTTGATAAGAGTCTGGTATGGACTTTAATGGGGAAACTACTATTAAAAAACAAAACAAAATGGTGGGGTCGCTCAAAAATAAATCCAGTCCGTTATCTCAGCGTGCAGCCTGGCTGGCCAGGGAAAAAAGGGGCGGTGAGTGTGCACTCCCATCTTAAACTATGCCAGGTCATGCAACCTTAACATGGGGAAGGTACCTTGTCTGGCAAAGCACCTTGGTCAACAGTAAATGTGGGGGTATGTGAGGGGACTTTTAAGAATTTGGAAGCCCCCTTTAAAATAAAAGAGTCCACCCACTCAACAAGAATACATAAGCAGCACATAGGATCCCTGGTTACTCATTCACATAAAAAGGAAAACTATAAATAAACACACAACGCCATTTCAGAGTACACTATTAGGAAAAATAAAAATAAAAAGACACATCGGAAATCCATCATCAATTACACTGTCCAGTCATGCAGAACCTTGTTAATCATGTTGAATGATGCCCACTGAAACAAGACAAGCTGACCGCTGAGAAGAGCAGCTCCCATTGCACTGTCACTGAAAATGACATTTCATTACATCTGAATGTAATTTAGGTGGTGGAGGATACAGGGTGATGTCATTGACTAAATAAGATCATAATAATATATGGTCAGTGGCATCAGCCAGCATTGCCTGCCCCTTTGTTAACATTCAGCTACCAGCTGGGAAATGTCATTCATGGGACGAGTCTATCGGATCGCTTCAGAATTTATTTTCAATGGGTCTAGAGGGCATTCATTGGGAATGAGATGAATCTAGATCACTGGGTTCTATGATGGATTTACATTGTGGGACATTTTGGGGGGGAGTTTAATGAAGGACTTTGCTACAGACTTGTGTGTTTACTTTGTAACATTTTTGGCAAGGAGTAAATAGGTGTAACACATACTAATTCTCATAAAGGTATGTATATGTGGAATCCCCCTTTTTTTAAAATGAGGCCTCCAGATTCTGATCAGTCCCTTCTTTCACATATCCCCATAGCCACTGGGCAAGGGATGTGAGGAAGAGGTCCTTGTACTTATCAGCATGGAGACAAGGTGCTTAGCCAGGGATGCCCCCAAGCTAGGTACTCTATGTTGAAAGCATGTAGCCTGGTATGGTTCAGGTGGGTGCATACTCGCTGTGCCTTGCTTTCCTGGACAGCCAGAAATGTGATGCTCTTTTGGTGACAGGCTTATTTTTATGAGACATAAGGGGACTTTTAGTACCCTTTGGTTTGCAGTGTGTGAAAAAAACACCACATTTGCTGATGCGTGGGGGTGCCATTAAGAAATAATGACACCGCCATATGTCTGCCAAAGAGAAACTTGTTTGTCTGCATGCTGGGAATGTGTGTGATTTTGCATATGTTCCCAACACAGTAATGTGAAGTTATGCTTAGACTGAAAGTACTTTTAAAGGGTGCCGTGACTCAGAAAAGGTTGAGAAACACTGATCTAGAGGATACAATACTCAGCTGGTTCGAATCCTTCTTGCCAGGGAGAATACACTCATACTTTTCACTTTCATTACATTATGGGCCCAACAGTTAAATTCTTATACCGATGTTATTTGCAATACAAATGATCTCAATGGATACGATCATTCAATATCATTCGTTTAGCTATTATTGCTATGCAGATAACACACAAATCTACCTCAATTTTCTCTGTAGGGGACACTAATGTGTACTAACGTACAAAGCGCATAATGTAACCAACCTCAATTCATAAATCCACATAAACAAATCACCATATATAGATGAATATCAGATCTCTAAGTGCAAATAATGTATAAAAACATTTGAAAATATTAATAAGTAAAGTCCATAATCAATCACAATATTCTCCAGTGATGAGGTTAAATGTCTTTAAAGTGCAAAGATGCTTGATGCTGTGAATCTTTCACCATATAGTATCCATATTTCATCCAGTGATTAGGCCATAATTATATAACTCACCAGACGGATATGATCTCTTTAGTTAAAAAGAAGGTCAAGAGCACTTTTTAACTAAAGAGGTCAAATCCGTCTGGTGAGTTATATAATTATGGCCTAATCACTGGGTGAAATATGGATACTATATGGTGAAAGATTCACAGCATCAAGCATCTTTGTACTTTAAAGACATTTAAATTCATCACTGGAGAATATTGTGATTGATTATGAACTTTACTTATTATTTTCAAATGTTTTTATACATTATTTGCACTTAGAGAGCTGATATTCATCTATTTATGGTGATTTGTTTATGTGGATTTTTTATGTGGATTTATGAATTGAGGTTGGTTACATTATGCACTTAGCATAATTACAAATTAGTGCCCCCTAGAGAAAAAATTATGATGTATGGTGTTTTTTTGATCATTATTATGGTGGAATCTTAGGGCTTGCATTCATTTTGATTTTTTGTATTGGGCGCAGGGGATTTTTCACATATTTGTAACATAAATCTACCGGTCATTCAAACCAGACACTGGTGACCCTAAGACCAAAATCAGCAGATGTCTTACTGACAAATAGGTGTGCATGAACTGTGACTGGCTAAAAATGAGCCAAGACTAGGTAGAATGCTTGTAATTGAGGGCAGAGTTCAGCATCAAACCAGCTGGTTTAATTCCTTTTGCTGCCAGGTCTGTACATTGTACAGACCTGACAGCGGGAGCTTTTACACACACTTTGGGGGAGATTTACTAAAACTGGTGCACTCAGAATCTGGTGCAGCTGTGCATGATAGCCAATCAGCTTCTAACTTCAGATTGTTCAATTAAACTTTGGAAATAAAACATGGAAGCTGATTGGGTTATATATACTAGTGCACCAGACTTTGCACTCTTCAGATTTAGTAAATAACTCCCTTTGTGTGTACATCTGACAAGCAGACCCCTGCCTGTCAGATGGAAACATTAAGGTGGCTTCACTGTAGCCTGATTGCTTCCACACACCCCCAGTAACAGTGCCCATACCCGCCGAACACGCCCCCGCCATGTATTCTGTGCTCTGCTTGCCCATCTGCGGGTCTGGGTCCAGCATAGCGAATGTCGCAAGGTAGAGGGGAGGGATTGGAGTGGACACATGTCCACTCTCCTCCCCTTCTTGTTGCTGCCCCTGAAGCGGCGTGTAAAATGCCACCTCTGAGTCCCCATGTTAGTCTCCCCAGCCAGTATGGCTGGGAAAGAATCTAATGCACTGTGATCTGTACTACATTACATTCAGTGAGGCACAGAGGAGACATGAGGGGTCTTTTAGACCCTGGATGTCTCCTTAAAGAGAACCTGTCACCAAAAATTTACCACATAGGGGAAATATAAGTTCAGTAACAAAAAATGTTAAATAATTAAAGTTAGACCTAAGCACATAAAATCCCACCCAAAAATTTCTGAGGGCCCCCACATATACACACATACAAATGTAACTGCACACGTCAGGGATGCCTACGCAGGAAAACATTGATTGCAATACACATGCTACATATCGCTGTGCACAACAGAGTGAAAACAATATTTCTAGCACCAGACCTCCTCTGTAACTTCAAACTGATGACCTATAGGGGGAAAATATAGGGTACTAAAGGGGGAAAATATAGGGTACTAAAGTTTGTTGCCATTTCACGGGCTCACACAAATTTAAGGTTTGTGCAGCGTTCTATTAAAATTTGAAGAACCGCAGTCTGGCCTATTACATGAATGTCACATTTTGTTTACTAAGCCTATGTGTATGTCGGTGGAGGACACACGGTGTTGTACACATAATGAACAACCATTCACATTACTGTTCGGGATGTACTTTGAAGTGTGGACTGGATGTCACTTATGTTTTTGGACTTTATGTTGTAATTTATCACTTTATTTTAGTGCTGCATTTATATGTATACTTTTATTATATATAGTGTATCCTTTTGGCTGCTCACTCTTAATTTTGTCACTTATATTTTTGCCTTCAAGCATAGTGAATATATGTATTTAAGTAACTGTATATCAGGGGCGGACTGACCATTTGGAAACTCGGGCACTGCCCGAGGGCCCAGGGTCAGTAGGGGGCCCCATGAGATGCCCCTGGTACCTTTTTCATAGGCTTTTTTGAGTTTGGGCAAGGACACAGGGGCCCCTTGATCCCCTATTGCCCGGGGGCCCCATGAGTTGTCAGTCCGCCCCTGCTGTATATATCTATTTATATGTGCAAAACTCCAAGAGGACTCTCTGGCTGCTTCTGGATTTTCTAATTACATACAGGTTTAGTGTTAGAGCTTGTTTAGAATGGTTCATTTGCTATAATAACCCATTCCCCAAAATAGGGCTATAATAGTAGATGAATGGACATTTAAGATTAAAACAGCTTCCCCTTTCTTAACCTCCCTAGCGGTCTGATTATATCAGTATTTCTGTGCTCAAAGCGGTACATTTTTTTGCATGGAAATATGTATTTTTTTTATTGTAGGCCTGTAATTTTTAGGAATAACTGAAATCTGTCTGAACAAGAGTCTAGTAAACATTCCAGATATGATAAAACTTGAAACAGGAAATCATAAATTATAATTTAATAAATAATCATAAAAAATAATAATATAATAATAATAAATTTAATTCAATAATATAATCAAACCAAAAACACTGACATTTGAAATACAGAGGCAAATTCACACATCGCTGAGCAAAGTCGCAAAATCGTTTTCAGTGTCTGATGACGAATTTCCCCACGAATCATCATCACTCAATTCTGCAAGTGGTTCTGATTTACTATCGCTGTTCTTTAGCTGGTCTAAAACCATTTTTGACATAAAGGGACGTTTTTTTGGACGCCGTGGACTTTTCTCAGTTTCCAGGCAGAAAGAACAGTAAAAATGCAGGCAGGGCACAGGACAAAGCACTCAGGACAAAATGTATGTGAAATGGTTTGATACAGTAATGTTTTACTATGTGATTTTAGTGATTTTAGTGAATGTCACTTTTTGTTATTCTCAAATTTCCCGCCGTTCCGTCCCCCGTACATCCCACCGCTCACAGGGGACGGAACCCAGATGACAGATGCCAGCATCTGCCATATTACATTGCCACAGGGGGGACATCGCAGGAGCGCAGGACAAGGTAAGTGATCGAGGAATCGCGGAGCAGCGCAGCATGGTAAGCCTGAGTGTAGCTCGGGGTTACCTCTTGTGGTACTGAAACTTTACACTCGGGAATACTGCCAGGGAGGTTAATATTCATGGTTCAAAATGGACAAAGCCCTTTACCAAAAAAAACAGCCTCTACGCCTTTATTATTATTATTATTATTATTATACAGTATTTATAAAGCGCCAACAGTTTGCTCAGCGTTGTACATTACAATGGGAGACAATACATGCGACAGTACAATAACAATACAATGTGATACACGAGGGGTTCTAGGGCCCCAGTGCATTGATCATGTCTATTGCGGATAATAGGTTAACAAAGGTATTAGGTTTGTATATCCACAGTTTTTACATTTTATTTAACTTTTTGCACTGGCCATAAGAAACAGTAAAGTAACTTAGTGATCTTGAATTGTTATTTTTTCCAACGCTTTTAAAAGTGATGTATGTAATAATCAACACTTCCCACGGAATACCAAAATAAAGTATATCTAAAAAAGATCTGGTTTTAACTTGTCATAATTCAGAATATAAATTACATCAAGTAAAAAAAATCACTACAGAGGTAATCTAAACAACATATGCCATTTTAAGTGTACATTATTTAGTATCAGTGTCAAAGATATTACAAGTAAATTAAAAATAAACATTATATGAAGAGAAGGTTTTTCAGTGTAATATCAACATTTTTTTCAATCATGATAATGTGTTATTTATATTAAAGTGGTAATAAACCCAAAACCAAAAAATGTAATATATTGCAGCTTACCAATTCTTAGATGCGGTGGCTGCATTCATTTTCTTTTTAGTTTTCACTTTGGTGAACTAGCCAGTAACACACCTCCTTTATTAGAGTGCCTCTACTCTGGATGAAGGAGAACAGGGGGCACAGCAGAGAGCAGCATAGTTAAACTGGGGGTGTTAGATGCTCTAGCAGATTTAAATACACAAGAAATTGAAGCTAAACTCCAGTTAACACTGCAGTTACTCAAGCAGATAAAATAAGCATTTTTTTTCTTTTGGGATAAAGGTTTTACATTTATAAATAAAAGCTGCTCATTGTAAGCACCCCTGTCATGGGTAAATTTATGAGCCAGTGGTGATTAATGGGATGGAGGTTGAGAGGGTAGAGGAGTTCCACTTCCTGAGAAAAATAATTAGGGGGGATCTGACATGGACAGGGCATACATCCCATCTGGTGGGCAAGGCTCATCAGAGACTGTACATTTTGAGGAAGCTATGGAGGGCAGGCTTTTCAGAGCAGGCCCATTTTAGCTTCTATAAAGCTGTCATCAAATACGTGGCAACATATCACATTTCTTTGTGGCAAGGATCATGCACAGTCCATGACAGAAATGCATTGCAGAGGGTGATAAAAACTGCACAGAAGACTATCACAGGAGTTAGTTTACCAAGTATTGATGAACTGGGAGAGGTGTATTCAGAGAACGATTAATATGTTGGAAAATACTTCACATCCCTGGTAATGGTCTGTATACATTTCTACCATCTGGTAGGCAGCCTAGACGTATTGGCTCCCATACCACCAGGTTGCCGGATAGCTTCTTTCCTCGATCTGTATGGCTCTTGAATGCTAGAGGTCTTGTAGAATAAATCGATTGGGATTTATGTTTTTTTATTACAGTATGTACGTTGTTTTTGGTTAAGTGTTTATGTGTTGAGCGTAAAATTCCTTTTTCAATGTGAGGTAGCTATAACTGTTATTTCATTTTATGATTGTTATTGTAAAATGAGAATACATTAAATGATACATTTGCAACAGAACTTTTTCTGATGAAAAATGACAGATTTACTGGTTAGATCACCAAGTTAAAAAGTGAAGGAAAGAAAGCCTAAACATGAAAACTAATGCAGCCACCACATCTAAGAATGGGTAAGCTGCAATATATTAAAATGTTTCCTTTTGGGATTATTACTGCTTAAACTTTGTCACAGGCTTTTTGCCTTAGATTCCTACTTGTTCATTCAGCCTGAACAGAGTGTTTTTTATAAAGATATTGGGGATGGGCTTTACTAAACATAGAAACATAAAGTTAATTAATTACTAAGTTAGTTAGTCACATAATATTTGAGAAACATTTTTTTTAATTTCACAATCCTTTGTTTATATTTTCCTAGATTTGCAGACCAAGCTGTAAAGAAAAATTGACAGGGGTTGGAAGACTATACAATTCCCAGAGTTGCTTGAGCACTTGCGAAAACAGTTTTTTTTTTACCCCTTGGCCCTTGAACCCTTGGTAAACAGACCAAATATAGCAGCTTTGGTATACAGTAGTTAGTTTAACAATAACTCTGTGACTAACTTGCATACCCAAGTAATTTTTATAATTTTAATTGACTAAAGAACTGCACCAGATTTTGCACACTCACACTATATTGCCAAAATTATTGGGACACCAGCTTTTACACGCACATGAACTTTAATGGCATCCCAGTCTTAGTCTGTAGGGTTCAATATTGAGTTGGCCCACCCTTTACAGCTATAACAGCTTCAACTCTTCTGGGAAGGCTGTCCACAAGGTTTAGGAGTGTGTCTATGGGAATGTTTGACCATTCTTCCAGAACCACATTTGTGAGGACAGACACTAATGTCGGACTAGAAGGCCTGGCTCACAGTCTCCACTCTAATTTATCCCAAAGGTGTTCTACCGGGTTGAGGTCAGGACTCTGTGTAGACCAGTCAAGTACTTCCACCCTAGACTCGCTCATCCATGTCTTATGGACCTTGCTTTGGGCACTGGTGTGCAGTGATGTTGGAACAGGAAGGGGCCATCCCCAAACTGTTCCCACAAAGTTTGAGAGCATGAAATTGTCAAAAATTTCTTGGTATGCTGACACCTTAAGACTTCCCTTCGCTGGAACTAAGGGCCAAGCCCAACTCCTGAAAAGCAACCCCACACCATAATCCCTCTTCCACCAAAAGTTACACTTGGCACAATGCAATCAGGCAAGTACCATTCTCCTGGCAACCGCCAAACCCAGACATGCCCATCAGATTGCCAGACAGAGAAGCGTGATGTGTCACTCCAGAGAATACGCCTCCACTGCTCTAGAGTCCAGTGGCGGTGTGCTTTACACCACTGCATCCGACACTTTGCAACACTTTGCATTGCACTTGGTGATGTAAGGCTTTGATGCAGCTGCTCGACCATGGAAACCCATTCCATGATGCTCTCTACACACTGTTGTTGTGCTAATCTGAAGGCCACATGAAGTTTGGAGGTCTTTAGCTATTGACTCTACAGATAGATGGCAACTTCTGAGCACTGTGAACTTCAACAGGCTCTGACCCCGCTGTAATTTTACATGGCCTACCACTTCGTGGCTGAGTTGCTGTTATTCCCAGTTGCTTCCACTTTGTTATAATACCACTAACAGCTGACCGTGGGACATTTAGTAGCAAGGAAATTTCACAGATGGACTTATTGCACAGGTGGCAACCTATCGGGGTACCACACTTGAATTCACTGAGCTCCTGAGAGAGACCCATTCTTTCACAAATGTTTATAGAAGCAGCCTGCATGCCTAGGTGCTTGATTTTATACACCTGTGGAAATGGAGGTGATTGGAACACCTAAATCCAATGATTTTTAGGGGTATACCAATATGTTTTGGTATATAGTGTATATATATGAATTAGATCCCCTAAAACCATTTTTGTACTTTTTATTTAATCATCCCCTGCATTTTTTATAATATTTACATATATATACATGTTGGGTACGAGTATAACATTATCCTCACATTTTTAGAACTGTAAATTTCATCATTCTTCAAACAAGCCTTCAATATACTCATTGATTTTAAGCATGAGGATGGGATATTCATTCTTACCTCACTGCCTCACAATGAACATTGTCTACATATACTGGACCACAGCTGAGAAGTAAATAATGTCCACCTGTAATGCCATCATGTTCAATCTTCCCTACCCTTAATATTTACAACATAGTTGAGGAGAATGAAAGGACGAATAGAGACAAATTTTTCTTTTAGACACTTTGATAAATGAACCAGCATTGAATTGCTCTTCATTTTACACATTTGCCTGACTTTACCATTACTTAATCTGGTCTGGTCTTCTTCCAGCGAAATAAAAACTTGACAAGGGAGGCTGAAATATTGAGGTGTCACATAAAAATGATGATAAGTAGTGAGATTGGCAAAAACAAAATGGAACAAATATTGTCATTTAGCAAAAACTGAAAAAAAATTACCATATAGGAAGTACATTCTCCATCTTTCCACCATTGAAAATATTAATTGTGACTTGCCTCAGGCTGAAAGTGAAATACATTATTGGTGAACTTTTCTAAGAAAAAAAAAAAGCTTAAAGCCTTTCTAAAGTGATACATCTATCTACAAGATTGTTCTATGTTTTTATATGTTGAGAGGATTTGGTATAGTTTCAACAGCGGAAGCAATATTTTCTACAAAAATATGGACTTTTTTTAGCTTTTATAAATGACTGTCTAAAACAGTTGGGACTATGATTAGCAGACAATCAGAAATTTCTGTACATTTGCCGGGATTCTAAAATAGGTGGTGTCTCTCATAATTTGTTTCTTTTTTTTTTTCCCCCAATAAAATATTTTTTTTCTGATCCTTTTATTCTTTTCTGGTGAAATCTGAAGGTCATCAAGAGTAGACAGAATTCTCAACAGCACTGGACAGCTATTTCTTTTATTCACTTGTGCTATGTGCAGTAGTGACGAGCTTCCAATTCCTCAGATTTTAATCTTGTTTGTCAGGTGCGAAATTCATATATTGCTACTGTACTATACTGTGCTACTATACTATATATGATGGCTGCCTTTTTCTGCCATCAGTGGTTGTGGATATTAAGCTGGAAACCCATGGAAAAATCAAGAAAAAAGTGAGTATCTTCCCCCAAAGTCTATACTAGACCCTTGTCAAAGCATGCAGCCTGGTAGGCCAGAAAGGAGAAGGGGACAGGGATGCTCCTTCCTCCTGAACTCCTGTATGCCCTCTACATGCCCTCATTATGAGGGGGGGTACCTTGCCAGCGGGGACCTGTAATGGTAATGTTCATATTTTGTGTTATTTCTTAGACCCTTTTTTTACAATTTTAGCAGTGGGGACCAGAGATACCATTCTGTGTGAAGGAAGCAATGGAGTTGAACATGCGTTGGCAGTCAGTAGGCTTGGGAGAGGAGGATGCATGCTCATCCCCTTTCCTGGCCAGCCAGGGCCTTGTATGGACTTTTGGAGGACACTACAATTTTCCTTTTTTTGCGTGGGATTCCCCTTGTCATCCTTATCAGACTCTCACTAAAGGTATGCATTTGACATACCTGTGGAATTCCTGTAAAAGCTGTAAATCACTTTAGCAGTCTCCACAACAATAGTAATTGCCATTGTCTTTGGGGCTTGTCCTGAGCAGCTAACCTGGCTTGCATTTTTCTCAGTGAAAGCAAGGTGGTCTCTGATTGGATGAGGTGGAGAGGTTGGGTGGTGATGCTACACTCTTCACCTAGTCCAATCAGAGAATGCCTTACAAAAGAGACTATGACAGTGATTTCCAGCTTCCACAGGAATCCCACAGCTATGACATATGCATACTTGCATGTAACAAGGGCCGTGGATAAGGGGGTACCACCAGTCCTCCTGTACGGGGCCAAGGACAGCAGGGGGGCCCAGGCATCTGGTTAAATCGGATGTGGGCAGAGAGGGTGATCAGCACAGTGGGGGGGGAGCAATTACTGGAACCGATCCCCTGTATAGCTCTCCCTGCAAGCTGAAAGCTGGCTTCTTCTCCCCCCCCCCCCCGCTGGCTTACAGCTGCTGCAGAGGGACCCATACAGAGGATTGGTTCCAGTAATTGCCCCCCCACCGCACCCATCACCCTCTCTGTGCACCATACATTTCCTCTGTACTGCTCAGCCCCCTGTGTGCCCCCATCCCCTGCAGTGCTGCCAGCTATCTTCCCCTCCTTCCTACCAGCAGCTGCAAGCACACAATAGGATGCTTCAGGATGGAGAGTGTCACATTTTACCAGCCCCTTCCTTTCCTGGATGAACACAATGAGTGCTCGGTTTTTTTTTTTTTTTGTATGATAAAAACATTGCACTATGCAATATTTTCCCAGGGAAGAGGTAAAACTTTTTTTGTCTACACCATAGTTTAATTTTTTTACATTTAAAATTGTTCAACTGGCATCAGTTATTTCATTGTGTTTTTCACCCATATAACACACTTCTTTTGCTTCATGTAATTCTCCTATGATGTTTTCTGTGGGTATGTATGCTGTAGAGTGCCACTTCATGTTCTCTTGTCATGTTCTGTATGCTGGGTGTAACGGTCAGTATCTGTTCTCATACTATATGTATAGGGCACTGCACGTTTGTTGCCATGTAAACTGTACATGATTATCTGTTCTTATTCCATCTGTAGGACATAGCACAGTACTATGACTCTCTGTAGGCTGCATCTTATTGTCGTTAGAGAATTAGATGTATAAACACTGCACACTCAAACCCCTATTGTTCTGTACACTGGTTTAATTCAGCTTATTCTGTATGCATGGCAGTTGCATAATACTTCTATTGCTTTTTTTTTGTATGATGGGTGCAATTCTCAGGACCTGTTATACTGAAAATTGCAACAAGTGTAAAAAAACAGTATTTATATTGTAACTATGAATATTGCAAAGTACAATACTTCATATTCTTTTTACTTAGTGTATCTCTTCTTAATCTGTATGTGTTGATATTAAACAACACTGTTTTTCTTGTTTTTATTCCATATGCGTGTGAGATGCACAGTGCACAGAATATATTCTCATCTTGTAGAGAATTTGCTGTGATTATCCTGCACTACCATCTATTATTACAATGAGACCCTGATCATTTAAAGTGTTACTAAACCCAGGATCCTGCATTCACTCTATCTGGTCTCCCACAGTACAAAGATCAAGGAAGTGCAATTATTTTGGTAAATATGAACTGCAAAATACCTTTTCTCATCAGCAGTTAGAGCAGTCTTGTGACTTCAATCAGTGTCCAAATGAGTACTGGTTAAAGCTTGTAGGAGCAGTTTTAATTCTCCTCTCACTGCCCTATGAGATTGTATAACCCCTGATCCTCTCCCTGGACAGTACTGATTGGTATTGTGCTGATTACATTCACCCTCCCCCCCCCCCGACAAAAACTCTCTAGAAGTACACACCAAACGGAGCATGTGCAGAGTGTCCCCGAGGCTCTGTTCTATCAGGAGATGAAATGGGGACCGTGGAAGAAGGGGAGGATCAGAGAAGACAGGATCAAAAATCCTTTTTAGACAATGCAGAAGATTCAACCCTTAAGTTCCACAGTGACTATAACAAGCATGCTTTACTGCATATACAGACTGAGTTTACTGTTGTGGGATTAGTAACACTTTAAGCTAGCATACAGAACAACACAAGTAGTACTCTGCGTCCCTATGTTACCCATGTGGCTATTAGTTTTACTATTAGTTTTTAATGTTGATGTTGTAAGGGAAGAATGAAGAAGGAGCCCTCCTTTAGCCTACTCTATCCTTCTGTTTATAGTCATTGGTTTGTAAGGATGATGTTTAGCCAGCAATTTCTGAAGTTGGAAGTTTCCAATTGGAAAGGAAAAATGAGGTAGCAAAGAGCAAAGTTAGAGTTCCAGTCTATATTATCCCTTCCAAACATTAAAACTCCCTTCACAACTGTCCATTCTGTTGCAGTGTGTTACCATATGCAAGTTAACATGTGGTATAGGTGGATCCCTTTGAGAACGTGTGTGAGCACAAAACATGTCAGAGAGGAGCCTACGTGCTGACGTCATGCCGCCGTGTCCACTTGATGGTCCAGAGGCCATCCTTGTAAGTGCTTTTTATCCATTGATGATTTTATGCTCCACATGGTTGCTATATTTTTAATAAAACATACTACACTATATTATACTGTCTCGGTATATGAGCTTGCCCTCTAGGAGGAATCCCTTTCCTTGGTTCACCGTGGGCTGGAGATGGAGACTTGACTACTCTACTTTTGTATTAACAATTTTTATTGATTTTCTTGAAAGTACAAACAATACATTTAAACAGGATAAAGAAAGAGACTAAACATAACAGAAAGGTACATCGATGGCAACTACAAATAGACTGGACCAGTGGAATCAGAAGATAGTAATGTAAAGGTAATCAGGGCCTTACAATTTGGGCCGGCATAGAGGAAGTAAAGGTATCCCATGGGAGCCAAACCATTTCAAACTTAGCAAACGAACAACTATGTAGGGCAGTCAAATATTCCATCTGTCTTACATCAGCAATAAGTTTGTACAAAATCGGCATTGAAGGAGGAGTAGAAGATAACCAACACATAGGAATGCTTCTCCTGGCCGCGGTTAGCACATGTACAGCGAGTTTCCTGGATAGTTTAGGTAGTCCCGGGAATGGCAAACTCAGCAAAAAATGTAGAGGATCAAGTGGGAGAGAGGTGTGCAACAACAATTGCAATAAGGAGAGGACATCTTCCCAAAAAGGAGTAATGTT